CAAGTATATGTGGCTAAGATAATAAGTGATTAATTAACCATGATTGAATAATCTTTTTCTCTTTTTGTTTCCAAAAAAACAAAAAAATACAATTATTATTGACTTTTCATTGATAAAAAAAGGATACTAAGATTTTTAATATTTTAAGTCTAACTCAATTATAGATTTTTACTCCTTAAATTTCATTTGTATTGAGAATATGATATTTTGATAGTAAAAATGAGTAAAGAGAAGGCACTATGAACTACCGAAGAGATCGAATTGTTCATTAAATTAGTTCTCTAGCAAGTTAGGAAAAATGAGCATAAAGGCTCTACCTTATTAAAGGAAGGTTGGGAGATGCTAATGCAACAGTTTAATGCTTTGAGTTCTAGAATCTATGATAAGAAGCAGTTGAAGAATAAATGGGATAATTTGGAGAAAGATTGTAATATATGGGATAAACCGTTGAACAAAGAGGCTGGTTTGGGATGGGATAGCAAAAAGAATATTGTTTCAGTACCAGAAGGGTAATGGAATCAAAAGATTAAGGTATACAATTATATATGGCATGTTATACACTTGATATTTTATTTTATAAATATATTGGACTCAGTTCTTGTAAATGTGCAGGAGAATCCTGAGTATAGAAAATTTAGACACAGACTACTTCTATATGTATAAAAATTGAAACAGTTGTTCCAGCCAATTATAGCATGGGGCACTTACATGTGGACACTTGTGGTTGATAATCTGCAAGATGTGTATAGGCCTCAATTGGATTTGACTGAAGGATCAAGAGACAGTGATGATGTAAGAAACATTAGTGGAAGAGCTCTCCTAGAAATTAGGCAGGTTAACTTGAATAATGCAAATAGTAGTGGTACTAATTCAGGGAGCAAGCAAAAGAGAGGTGAAAGTGGTCAAAATAAGAAGGGAAAATGTCTTGCAATGGTGATGGTTGATTCAGTGAGTCAATTGGTGTCCACACAAGAGGATAGGATTTCAACATTGAAGTCAATTCTTAATTCCATAGGGGGTGGAACAAAACCAATTGACCAAAATGTGGTAGATGTTGCAAAAAAACTTTATGGAATCGAGGAGATTGCTTGTAATGAGGCACTTCTTGGACAGTGTGATGTGGCCTTGCTAGATAAGATCGCAAGGGACATGTATATTGGACTTAGGGAGAACAAAAGAGAAGAGCATTAGTGGCCTATTTGAAGTGCTTGGGCAAAGAAGCAGATTAGATTAATCCTAGCTTGCCTTCTAATGTTTTAAATTTGGCTAGTGTCATTCATGTTGTTAATTTGTTTTGAAACTGACTATGTTATTTGACTCTTGTTTTATGTGTTTCTTATGTCAAGTCATGAATAATGGTGTAATAGTTATTAAATTATGTTATGCAGTTTTATGGATGAAAATTTGTAGTCTCGCTTATTACAATTACTTGTATATGCGAAAGACGATGAGGTTGAGGCTATTACTGTAATAGTATCTAATTACTCAACAACTTTATTGAAAGAGCCTTGTAGAACTAGTTCATAATCAGATCATGCATGGGTGCAAGAAATTTTGTAAGGGCATCCTCAGCATTGTTATGACATGTTTCGTATGGAAAAAGATGTTTTCCTTTAACTTTGTAATGAACTAGTGCAACATGGCCTACGTTCAACTAGAAGAACAGGGATTCATGAAATGATCGGTATGTTCCTAAATATTGTTGGACATGGAGTGGGGAATAGGATAGCACAAGAATGATTTCAACATTCAGCAAAGACTGTTCACAAACATTTTAAAAATGTATTGCATGCTTATAAGAAGCTAGCAAAGGAATATATCCAATTAAAAAATCGCACTTTTCAAGATATTCATTCAAAAATTTTAGGTGATCCCGATATTAGCCATTCTTTAAAAATGTCATAGGAGTAATTGATAGAATATATATCCCGTGTGTAGTTAGTGTTAAAGAGCAAGGGAAATATATTAAAAGGAAAGGTAACACAAAATATAATGGCCGCATGTGATTAGGATATGTGCTCCACTTATGTCATGGCTGGATGGGAAGGGATTGCTCATGATGCTTGTTTGTTTGACTATGCACTCACGAGGCCAGACATGAAATTTTCACATCCACCCCAAGGTATATTTCATATTTATCTATTTTAAAAAAATTAATATTTTTTAGGATCTTACAAGTTTTTTATTGGTAGGTAAATATTATTTGTTAGATGTCGGCTATTCAATGCCATGTGGATAGTTAGGTCCTTATAGATCTCATAGATATCATCTCTTAGATTTTAAGTGTTTTTCCAGATTTGCAAACAATAATGAGGTTTTCAATTATTATCATTCAAGTTTAAAGACCATGATTGAAAAGACTTTCAGGGTTTAGAAAAATAAATTCACAATCTTACGATACATGTCTAGCTATCCATTTGTGCAGCAAGTTCGTATTGTTGGTGTAACAATGGCTATACATAATTTTATTAGAAGAAATCTGTAATTGATTTTAAGTTTAAGCGTTTTGAGAATGAAAATATGGTTAACACTAACAATGATAATGACAAGCATGCATTTTCATCAAAAATTTCAAGTGCAATTTCAAGCGTAACTTCTGATAGAGAGATGAATAGAGTTTGAAATTCTATTAGAGATCATATTGTATAATATAGATCGAACCGTTAATCATGTAACTATTTAATATTAATGAATGTTTAACTATTTATTACATTTTTTTCCAAAATTAAATTTTATATTTTTTTATTCTTATTATTTAACATTTTAAATTTTATGTTATTTTAAATTTGTTTCACATTTTTTAAATATTTTTAATATATTACATTTGTATAATAAAAATTATAAATTATCATAAATCAATGTCTTTTTTCATCATTACATATTAAAAAATACATTTTAAAAGCATAAATTTTTATTAATCTAAACAACTTTTAGTTTGCCAAACTAACTTTTGAAAAAAATGTATCCAAATACAAATTTCGTTACAACAATTGACTTTTATCAAACTGACTTTTGTCAAATGAACTTTCATTAAACTGACTTTTGACAAACTGAAAACCAAACACACCCTTAAATGTTTCTATTCGGTCTATTAATGGCTAAATTCAAAAGGACATTGATGCTCTGTATTCTTGGGATATCGCTGCCGCAGCAATCTCCTATTACATACAACCCAGAGGTTATTAATAATAATAGCAAGCTCTTGCATTGAAAATCATATGTTTTCAAGTAACATGTTTTGTTTGGTTGCAAAACTTGGTTTGCTATAGCAAGTTGGTAAATACTTGTTCTGACAATTGTATTCAAACTCTCGACTACAAGTTTATTATTTTTTTTAATTTATTGTCAATTTATTCATAAACTTAAACTAAATATAAGTTTAGTTAAACTTACAAGTTAACTTTTCAAATTTATTGTTTTTATATTCATAGCTTATAAAATTATTTTAACTTGCTCATAAATTCAGATTAGATGTAAATTTAATTAAACTTGCTAAACTTATTATACTTTTACTAATTTGAATTAATTAGGTATATATTGTGTAGAATTTGATTTATAGGAACGATAAAACCCAATTCAAAAAATAAAAAATAAAACTTAAAAAGAAAAAAATTAAAAATAATAAAAATAATAAAAACAATAAAAACAAGAAATGACAAAAATAATAAGTTGCCTAGTTTTGAAATTTTTATGCTGAATATGATAATTTATCAATACATATGAATTTAATTTTGATAATTTATATTTGATGTGTATTTAAATTAAACTATGCTCATATTTGATATATATTTAAATTAAACTATTTTTAATAGTTATTTATTAATCAGACACAAACTTTTATGAGTTTACAATCTGAGTTCATATTTCCATCATAAGTTCAATTAAACTTGTGTGATTGACAACCTTGGTTCTGACTATTTTATTATTAAATGCTATATATGGAGTAATAAAAGAAACAATTATTCATGTAAATTTTGAGGCAGCTCTGTTGCATTGCATCAATTATCTAAAGACAAATCTTTTATGCACTGTCCAAATTAGATAATATTCTTGGATGAAATGTCTAAATTATATGATTTTTTATATTTTAAACTAAAAATATGATTTGATTTCTTCATAGGATGGTAGTAAAAATATTAAAATCTAATTGAAGAAAAATCTTAAGTGTTGCCCCTAAATAACGTAACTGAGCAGATAATTTGTCAAAAGAAGGTTGGCTGTTGAATATCTGGATTGACAAAGGTAAGAGGGGACCGAGCAATGACAAAGCTATTCTCAACATTAATTACTTTCCATAATGACGTGGTGATGAGAAAATGAAGATGCCAAGACGGACCTATATACATCGGAAAGAAAAATATTTGATCCTCTATCGCCTTTAAGGTGATGAACTGTATTCTGCAGCAACAAAGGATAGCTGGGGCTAAACGAACATTTTGCCTCCACATACAATATAATGGACTGTCATATTTAACGTTTGGACCTGAGATTCACATTATGACATCCGCGCTGATATCGACTACTTTTAACTTTCAAGGAGTTCAGGAAACAGAGGAGAGATATCAGAATATGAAAAGAAAAAAAAATTGAATTATATATATAATGTTGGCATTGCACTGCAGCTTCACGAGTGTCAATTCAGCCCAAAAATAAAACAATATATTAATCCCATGTTTCTCCATGTAACCTTAAATCTGTCAATGTCTTGCTCGCATGATCATTTAAAATTAAGGGGGAGAAATGTAAATAATAGGTGGATGGGAAGTTCACGTCTTGGTCAAAGGACTTGGTCAGTAGGCAAGGAAAACAAGGTGGGAGGCAACTCATGACTTGTATTAGAAAAATGCCAACGTGTTCTGCAAGGGCATCTTCAACCTTTTTTAATGAAGCCCCTCTCCCATGTCAATTATCTCTAACCAATGACTAATCCCTATAAATCACAAGTTATAAATATCTTCTTCACGTCACGAGCCACGATCCTATGCGCGCGCCTGTGACTACATATATCATCAAAATATCCACATGTTTCCCGCCCCGTTATCTCACGAACTCGTCGCCATGCAGCTCTTCTCCTTTTTGCTTTTTTCTTCCTTTTCTTTCTCTATATCTACCTTCGATTCCTCACCTCCACCCCAGAAATCGTCAAAAGGGGCTTCAATAACTACCCTTTCATCGGAGCATTGCCGGATTTCGTCAAGAATCGGCACCGTTTTTTGGAGTGGACCACTCAAGTTCTCCGCGACTGCCCCACCCACACCGCCTTCTTAGCTCGTCCCGGCAATGTCCTCGATGTCCTCACAGCCAATCCACACAACGTAGAATACATTCTCAAGACCAACTTCCACAACTATCCCAAAGGCCAAAAAATGACTTCCGTTCTCCAAGATTTTCTGGGCTCAGGAATCTTCAACGCCGACGGCCACCTCTGGAAAGTTCAGAGAAAAACCGCCAGCTACGAGTTCAACTCCAAGTCACTTCGAAACTTCGTCATGGACAACGTCACCGTTGAAATTCAGACCAGGCTACTTCCCCTTCTCTCCAGAGCCTCCCAGACTCGCCGGGTACTCGACTTGCAGGACATCCTGGAGCGCTTCGCCTTCAACAACATTTGCAAGCTTGCTTTTAACGTCGACCCCGGATACCTCGATGGCGACGGAACCACCCGAGCTGACCTCATGCGGGCGTTTGATGACGCCACCACCCTCAGCACCGAGAGGTTCATGTACGCCTTCCCGCTCATGTTTAAAATCAAGAAGTGGTTGAACGTAGGATCAGAAAGAAGGCTGAGAGAATCAGTCGCAGTTGTACACAAGCTCGCGGATGAGATCATAAGGTCCATATTGGAAGTCAAGAAATCTAATCAAGACCAGGACTTACTGTCCCGGTTTATTGGAACAGAGGAGAGCTCGCCCGAGTTTCTGCGAGATATCGTCATAAGCTTCATTCTAGCAGGGCGTGACACAACGTCGTCTGGGTTGAGCTGGTTCTTTTGGATATTATCCTCAAGACCGGACGTAAAACGAGAAATAAGGGAGGAGCTGAAAGCGATTCGCTCTAAAAACGGGCGGAACAAAGGAGATGGATTCGGATACCAGGATCTTAAAGACATGCATTATCTGCAAGCAGCAATATCGGAAGCAATGAGGTTGTACCCACCAGTTCCGGTGGATACGAGAACGTGTTGGAGCGAAGAAGTGTTGCCCGACGGTACGATGATTAAGAAGGATTGGTTTATAACGTACCATACGTACGCCATGGGAAGGATGGAGAGTATATGGGGAAAAGATTGCTGCGAATACAAACCAGAACGATGGATTGAGAATGGGATTTACAAAGGGGAGAACCCGTTTCGATATCCAGTGTTTCATGCAGGTCCAAGGTTGTGTTTGGGGAAACAGTTGGCCTATATCCAGATGAAGTGCGTCGCAGCTTCGGTGCTGGCCTTGTACGACATAGAAGCACGGCACAAGGACGAGTGTCCCCAGCATTTGTTTTGTTTGACTTTGAGGATGAAAGGAGGCTTGCCAGTGGCCATAACCCAAAGAGATCTCGACCCTAATTAAGAAAGTTCATTTGCGTAATTTACGGACAGATTTATGATGCTGGACGGCACTTAACTATTAATATTGGCTCTGATTGGGAATCAGATATCTATTATTGTCGTCATAACAGAGGAGAATATTTGTAATAATGAGTTTGACTTTTTCTATCATTTAAGAGTTACTATTGAATATTGTCATGCTCGGATTCCTATTGCTACATAGAATAAAATCATTTTTCAATTATTTAATAATAAAATCCTCGGAGCATATAGCTAACTAGCTCTGGACCAGAGAATTAAAAAAAAAAAAGCTAACTTATCAAATTTATCTTAAAATTAAAAAATATTTAGGGAGAATTAACAACTGAATTAAGAACAAACTAAGACCGTTGACAATGTTATTAATAACCATAGTTTAATTATTAATGAATATTGTGATAATTAATTTCTTTGTATAGCACTTGTATGAATTTCTTGAGAAATATTTAACTATTTTCTTATTAAATATAGAAACAGAACATTGGAAGAGCCACTTAGAGACAGTTTTTAATTTTGACTATCTCCCCATTAAATAAAGAAACAGAACATAAGAGGAGGTATTTGGAGACAGTAAATTATAATTAAATTATTGTTAAGTGATTTATACGTGACTTGTATTAAGGATGAAAAAATTTCATCAATGGGGATGTAGTGTTATTTTATAATTAAAAATTTTTATATTTAACAATGGAGATTATATAGTATTATTTCATAATTGTTTAACATGATAAAAGTTGAAAATAAAAAGGAAAATGATCCTGCCAGAGCACTGGAAGTCTGGAACCTATCGACATCCTAATTGATGAGCGTTTGCAAACTTGTGTTCCCGCGCTGAGATTTAATTCTTCGCATTTATAATTGGGGAAATGACAAAGGGATTTTAAAAGAATTAATTAATTTAAGTTAGATTTTAAATATTAAATTTTCAAAATTTATAATTTAAATTTTAAATTTTATTACTCTGTTGTGATAAATTTATAATTTATAAATTTTAATAAAAAAATAATTTTTTATTCTTCAGCCATGTTAAAATTTAAAAATAAGTTTTAAATTTACCACAATGCAATTGCAAAATTAAGAGATTGAGTTGTTACTTTTTGAAGTTTGACGCTTGGATCTAAATTAAATTAATTAATCTTCTTGGGACCTCTTTATTATTTTTCCTTTATAATTTGGATGCTTGAGTCGGACCTGATGGTGAGAATAATCTGGGAGACATTTACAATTGAGAGTGCTAGTAGAGTTACATGATAGTGGAGGTACCCCCCTCACTTGAAAAATATTATAAGTATGGTTTGTAAATTTTTCAACTATGCATCCTCTATTTTTGATATTTTACACGTTTTAAATTAAATAAAATATTTAAGCTTACAAACTTATTATATACTCCTTCTATTTAAAAATATAAAACATTTTTTGAGGAGTTAGATGTTAAAAATGTAAGACATTTTTAGTCTTTTGAGGTGTAATTATTGCCTTTTTTCAAAAGTGCCCCTATTGATAATGACTTTATATTTATTATAAGGTGTTTAATAAGAGTAAATATGAAAAGATAAGGTTAGTTTAAAAGTAAATAACTACTTTATTGAGGGTAAAATTTAATTAAAAATATTATATTTTTTAATAGGGAGAGTATAAAATAGTTTAGTGACTTATATATGATATTATTCATCGTGAACAATAAAAGTATCAGGGTGTCAGAGATGCTGAGTCTCAAAAGAAACGAAGGATTCACAGACTCCTTTATTACAACTTGCTCGGATGTGAAGATATAAAGGAATAAGAATAACAAGCATTTGATTAATAGAACATGCAAACTATAAAGTTGTAAAGATTATAAAGCTAAAGACAATACTAAAAAGCTATTTGAGAAAAAAAAATTAAAAATGTAATAGGCTTCAGTGGCTGATTGTTGTTCAGTCCTTCTCTCTATGACCTTCTCTTTCTTTTATAATAATGGTCTAATTAAGACAGTTGCTCCCACGAAATCTAAAGCTTGTTTGCGACATGTCAAGGATTTAATAGGCAAGACCTGTGAGATTCATGGCATGATCTTTCCAATTTACAATGCGCATAGGTTGTCATTAGTTGCTAGCTTATGTTGCTAAAATATCTATTATTGAGGTCATGATCTTGTGAGATTCAGGGCTCGTTGAAGTCATAGTTTTGTGAGAGGCAATAGTTATAACAGTTCTCACCTCACCCCATCAAGGGTCTTTTAGACTTGAGTCGATGTTGTTTCATCTTCTACCACCATATGATCCTTTGGTCTCAGTGAAATTGTCGAATTATCAATGGCAGTGTTCTTAGTTTGCACCATATTCTTCCCTTTTAAAGATGAAAGTAATACCACAAATGAAAAACAATTAGTGCTAGCTCATAAAGGAAAAGAATACGTGTATAATGATAATTGCCAACTCTATGTGCAAATGCAAGTACAAAATAAGCACACAATCATATAACTAGTCACACACCAACCACAGTCTAATTCTCAAAACTCGAGAACTTGATACCAATTTGTAAAAGGTATCCTAAATTAGGACTTAAATTAACTTAATGGTACCAAACTTAGCCTCAACTTCCTTAAGTGGTAGAGGTTGAGGTTCGAGTCTGGAAGCTCCTAAAAGACCTTTTTAATAGGGTGAGAAATAACTCAAGTACCACTTTGAAAAAAGTTAGCTTCTATGCCTTTTAGGTAACAGTCTTCACCCCACCCTATTAGGGGTTTTTTGGACTAGGCTAACCCATCTCACAGCAGTGGAAGCTAGCTATCCCCAAGATGATACTTGGGTTATTCCTCACCTTACCAAAAAGGTCTTTTGAAACCTTTCTAAACTCGAACCTCTAACCTCTACCATCTTAAGAAAATCGAGGCTAAGTCTGGTATCATCGAGTAACAGTATACAATGATTCCAAGTCTTGAGGGATTTAAAGACTCAGTTAAGTTGTTTTGTGATGATTTGGACCAACCTTGTCCTTATTTGATCACTTGTTGGGCCTAACGCTTCATCCCCTCAACCCTATTCCTGCTATGACAGTTATATCTTTTTGAACATGCATCATTTCAATTTTAGCTTAAACAGATATAAAGAGAATGTTTACATAAAATATTATATCAACTTATTCTAGTATGATTATTATTTTTTAAAAAATATTAGTTTTTTACTCTTTCCGTTCAAAAATGTAAGGCATTTTTAACCGAATCTCACTCTTTAATAAAATAGTTACCTATTTTCAAACTAATACTATCTTTTCATATTTACCCCTATTAAACACCCTACAATAAATATAAAGTTATTCATTAAAAAAATACTTTTGAAAAAAGACAATAAATACACCTCAAAAGATTAAAAATGCCTTACATTTTTAAACATCTAACTCCTCAAAAAATGCCTTACATTTTTAATGAATGAAGTATTAAATTATCTTGTATCCCTTAGCTTCGATCTTGCTCTGCCATTGATTAGGAGAATTTCAATTAAAAACCATGAAAGAGACTTAATTACTAGTGGGTCCCAAAAAATTTTGAATTTCAATTCAGTTCAAGAAAGAAAAGTCAATGATTTTAATGGTAAAAAAAATTAAAATATCCTTCACTTGTTATGTAAAATTACTAATCGTTAATTAATTTTCTTACTTCAATAGTTAATTTACCAATATCACTTATAAATTACATCCGTTTATTAGACAATCAGTAACATTAATTATTAATTTGTTAATTTACTAAGATTAGTTGTAAATTACAAGACATGTTAGTAATTTTCAACTAATATTAGTAAATTACAAGACCTGTCAGTAATTTATAATTAACGTTAGTAAATTAATAAGTAAAGCTAGTAATTGAATAACTGATATTATTACTTATGATTAAACAACTGATATCAAGTCTTGTATAATTATTAATATGTCAACTCATATAAATTGCAACTCATATTAGTAAATTAACAAGTGAAGTAGAAAAATTAATAATTAGTGATTTTATACAACAAGTGAAAGGCATTTTAATCTTTTCACTATTAAAATTATTTTGACTTTTCTCTCCTAAACTGAATTAAAAATTTAAAATTTTTAAGACCTATCAGTAATTTAGTCTCTTATATAGTCCTTAACCAAAATTTTGTCTTTACAGTTTTGTTAAAATGACTATTTTACTCTTTTTTCAATATTTTTCTATGCTAAAGACTATTTTATTCTTTTTTCAATATTTTTTTATGCTAATCCTAATTTTCATGTTTTTTTGTCATTTTTTCTATTCTAATTTCAAAGCATTCTAGTATTGGTATTTTAAATATTTATTTTTAAATGTTTTGGGATCCCATAATTTTTTATAAAGCTATTCAAGAGCTTGGTTAATTGTTGATAGCCACGATTGATTCGTAATTTATTTATTAAGTTATGTTCAGCACCTACATTTTAATACATTCTCCCCTCCTTTCTCTCTTGATTGTTCATTCTCTCTTTGTTTTCATCCTTCAAGGATTTGAATTCCTTGAAACTCTTGTCCAACATAGAGTTTTCTAAGCCCCTAATAAGTAATTTACTCAATGCCATTGATATAGACAAATGTGAGTGTGATGATGAAGAGTTAATACAAACATTTTTAAAGATATTTGATTTAACTAATGAAGGAATATGCCATCATAAAGAAATAATTGAAACAATAAATATGGGGATTGAGGAAGAAAGGACAAAAATTTAAAATGGTAAATAATCCTACAAGAGAACAAATGATCGAGCTATTTAAAGAATACCTTAATGTGATTGCTTGGTCTTATAAAGACATGCTAGGGCTCGGTTAGGGGATTGTCTCTCATGGAATCCCATTATTATCAAATGTTAAGCCTAAAAAGAAAAAATTGTGAAGAACAAGAGCAGAAATATCGTTACAAATAAAGGAAGAAGTCATAAAGCAGCTAGAGGCTGGTTTTCTATAAGTGGCCAAGTATCCTAAATGGGTAGTAATTATAGTCCCTGTTCCAAAGAAAGATGCAGAATTTGAATATGTTTTGATTATTAAAAATTGAACGATGCGAACTCGAAGGATGATTTTCCTTTACCTACCCTATATGAATGTCTTAGTGGACAATACTAAGTGCCATAACTATTCATTTATGAATGGGTGCTTAGGATATAATCAAATCCCAGTACATGAAGATATAAAAAGAAGACTACTTTCATTGCGCAATAGGGAACATATTATTATTAAGTGATGCCGTTTAGCTTAAAGAATGCCGGACAACTTATCAATAAGAAATGGTAGCTCTATTCTATGTTGATGACATGGTTGCCAGATCTGTAGAAGGAGAAAGTTGTAGTTATCTTTCAAAAGCTGTTTGAAAGGTTGAACAAGTACAAACTTAGATTGAATCGAAACAAGTATGTCTTTAGGGCATTATCAAGGAATTTGTCAGGCTTCATCGTAAGTCATAAGGGAATAAAGGTAGATCCTAACAAACTCAAAGCAATCCAAGACATGCCTCCTCGTTGATCAGAGAAATGAGTTTGTAGTTTTTTGGGATGATTAAATTACATTGCAAGATTCATTGCCAATTTAATAGCAACTCGTGAATAGACCTTTAAACACTTGAGGGAAAATAACACAATGAATTAGGATGACAATTGTTAAAAATCATTCAAGAAGAACTAATATTATTTTCTAAATCTTCCTCTTTTATTTCTTCAATCAGCAGGTTAACCTTTATTACCTTTACTTGATAATTCTCCCTAGGTCAATAGAAACCATGTTAAGGCAGTATGATGGTACCGAAAGAAAAGAGCAAAAGATTTACTACTTGAATAACAAGTTTAATGATTGTGAACATTATTCAATAATTGAGAGAACTAGCTGCAAGTTGGTATAGACAACTAAAAGGTAAGATAACACGTGCTTTATTACATTACATGCTCAATTTCTAATATGAATCCACTAAATATTTTTTTAAAAGTTTGTAAGTAATTAGAAGGGTGTCTAAGTTGAAATTAAGCAGTGCTATCTGAGTATGATATAAAGCACGTGACTTAAAAGTAGGTTAAGGGAAGTGCAATAGCTAATATAAGGCATGTGACTTAAAAGTAGGTTAAGGGAAGTGTAATAGCTAATCACTTGGCTGAAAATCCCTTGCACAGTTATCAACCATTAAACTTTCATTTTCCTAACGAGCACATATGTAAAATAAAAGAAGAAGATAGCAAAGAAAAGAGGTAGGGAATGTATTTTGATAGTGCAGAAAATACTTATGGAAATGATGTTAGGGCAGTAATTGTGTCCCCTAAAGGAAGATAGTTCCCAATAGCTATCAAATTAGAATTCAATTGTACCAATAATGTATCTAAATATGAAGCTTATCTCAATGGACTCAAAGCAGCTATTGCCCTAAGTAAGAGTGAGAATAGGTCAGGCTCTTAATAAGGGCCTGTAGCCTGGCCTACTTCAGGCTCAACCTAGCCTATTAAGTTCAAGCATTCAATTGGGTTTATTTAGTTAAATAGGTCAGACCTATGAGCCTAACAGGCTGACTTACACATATATATTATATAATATATCACAAACACATCAATTTTACCATTTAATTTTTAATTAATTTATTTTTTTATTTCTAGTTATGTTTTCAATCATATTAGACTTATATATTAATTTTAATGTTGTCACTTTATTATTATATTGTATTGTATTTAGTAAGTTCTTTCAATTATTATATATTATAATTGATAGATCAAGTTATATAGAGAATATTATAATTATCTTAAAGTATATTTGAGATGCTTAAAACAAAAATGTGAGCTATTTAAAATGCTTACTTTTAAGTAGGCTTCTAAATAAGCTTTTAGGTTAGGTCAAGTTTTAGATAGACTTATGTATGAGTTGTGAAAAAAGCCTTATACAGGCTTTAGGCTAGATTAGACCTCTAACTTACCACACATGCTTAAATCTATTTAGTTAAAGCCTAATTTAGCCTAGCCTATTTTCACCCTTAGCCCTTAGGGTTAGATGCTTTGAAGTTTTTGGCAATTCTACCCTTATAATTCATCAAGTAATAGGTGAGTGGTGAACAAATGATTTAAAATTGCTCCCTTATTAAGAATTATTGGTAGAATTAATGAATCAGTTTGAAGTCATTAACTTTCACTACTTGACTCGATGTAAGAACTAATTTAAGGATGCACTTGCCATACTTACAACCATGATTCAACTTGCTCATAGGGTTCATATCAATCCAATCTAAATTGAAGCTATAAGTATGCTAGCCTATTGCTCGAATATTAAAGAGGAACATAACAGGTTACCTTGGTTCCATAACATTAAACCTTACTTCATTGATAAGTTGCATCTGGCTGGAGTAATTGAGAATGATAATAAGACTCTTTACCACCTACCTGTGAACTTCTTTATCAGTAATGGCATCTTGTATAAGAGAAGTTATGACGGCACACTACTTCATTGTGTAGGCTCAAAAGAAGCACACAAAATTATGAACGGGGTTCATAAAGGAATATAGGCACAGATGCAAATAGTCATGCAACGGCTAAGTAAATTCAAAGATGTGGCTACTTTTGGATAACAATAAAGAAATATTATATTGGATATGTTAGGAAATGTCATAAGGGTCAAATCTATGCTAATAGGGTTAATGCTCCTCTCATTCTACTACATAAGTTAGGGTCACCTTGGCCATTTTTGATGTTGGGTATCGATATCATTGGTCCAATTAACCCAAAAGTCTCAAATAGGTATCGTTTCATCATTGTGGCCATTGATTATTTTACCAAGTATGTGGAGGACAATTCATTTAGTAGTATCACCCAAAAAGTCTTTCTCAAATTCTTAAGACAAATATCCTTTATTAGTATGAGATCCCTAAAAGGATCATTACAAATAATGGTCTTAATCTAATAGGACAATAATTAGGAACTTTTGTGAACAATTCAAAATAAAACATTACAATTCATCCCCTTATAAATTTTCAGAGGGGAAGTTGCAATTGCTTATTTCATCATGGTCATTGCTAGCAGAAAAATAGTCATTACTTATATTAAAGTAGTACTAATATTTATTTTTAGGTCAAAGTATATTTTTGCCTCTATACTTCCCTTCTAGAAATGTTGGGCACCCTATACGAATAAGTGGGGCATTTTCCCCCAAACCATTTTCCAAAAAAGTAAATATCCCCCTCCGTTAGTGATCTATTAATGGAGGGAGATTTTTGCTCCTTTGAAAAATGATTTAGGAAAAACATGCTTTACTTATTAGTACAACGTGCCTAACGCTCCTCAAAGGAAAGTACAGGCGCAAAGTGTGCTTTAATTCTAAAATTTTTCATATAAAAATATAAGATATATATGTGTGTGCATAAAGATTAATTAAATTAAATATAAACATTATTTGACCTTTTTGTCATGTGAAATTTTTGAATTTTCACAAACATTAGGAATAATCATATTGCTATATGAGTCGATAAGACTTCGCAAGTATAATGTTTAAGTTTACAAAAGAATGTCAAGAAAAATATATTTTTTTCCTTTCCATTTTATATTTCAAAATTTTAAAAAATTGAAATTAAATTTATTTTTGCAAGTTAAAAATACATATCCAAATTTTAAAAAATTGTCTCATTTGCAAAATAATAAGTTATTTTTCAATTAATATCTCTCCAAAAATAATAAAAACCAAAATTACAATCCTGAACTAGGTGGGCTTTAATCTCCAAGAAGGTACATAAGCCTTAGACTGCCTTATAAATAAATAATATTTTTTATTATTATTTAAATTTACTTTCCCTTTTTTATATTTATTTTATTTTAGCATGTGAATAATTTTAAAGGCCATACTAATTACACAATTAACTAAAGTAACCGTCATAAGAATAGGTGCTATAGAGTGTGTAAAACTTTTCCCACTCATAATTGACTCATGAAACTATCTTTTATAAAAACCATCCTTATTAATTTTAGTTGGTTTTTTAAGATTTTTTTTCAAATGCAATTGTCAATTACTGAGTAGCTTTTTATTAAATGCAAATAGCTAGTTATTTCTTAATTAAAAAACTAACTACTACTACATTTTTAATTTATATTTTTTATAAGTAAAATCATCTATTTTAATAAATATTTATTACACATTTCTTAAATCACCTTTTATTATTTACATTAATAAAAAATAATTAATATATACTTATATTAATTAATGTAAGGTATTTTTAGTCTAGCTTTTTTATTTTTAAATATAATTATTATAGTTAATTAATTTTTTTAAATTATATCATATAATTTTTTTATATATAAAAACGGATGGATTACTTGTTAATTAAAAAGAAAAATAAGAATATTATAATATTTTTTTACACAATATCATCAGGTTAACGATTGATTTGACATTTCAAAAGCTTTTTGTTGTTGTTTGATATTAAATATTTACAACGATATTTTCTCAAAAAGGAAAAAAAAGGTCTCCTCTGACATTTAATGAAAGTAGGCTATTTTATTTATATAAGTTGGCCATTAAAACCGTTGCAATATGTGCATCCTCAACACCTCACTTGGCCTTCTCTTTCTAAACTCCAGAGTGCAAACCATGAAATCAATGGATCTCTTATCTCCATCATCTCTACTGTTCGTCTTCCTTATCTCTTTCTGTCTTTACCTTTTATTTTTCAAGTTTGCCAGAAAATCCTCCGAGAGGGGCTTCCGAAACTACCCCTTGCTGGGAACTTTACCTGATTTCTTGAAGCATCGCGAACGCTTCCTGGATTGGACCACCGAGGTTCTCCGGGACTGCCCCACCAACACCGCCGTCTTCTACCGTCCTGGCAAAGTCCGAGGCATCATCACGGCAAACCCAGACAACGTAGAGCATATGCTCAAAACCAACTTCCCCAATTATCCCAAAGGCGACCGATTCATTAGCCTCCTCCACGATTTCCTCGGCACAGGAATCTTCAACTCCGACGGCGACCTCTGGAAGGTTCAGAGGAAAACCGCCAGTTACGAGTTCAACACCAAATCGCTCCGAAACTTTGTTATTGAGAATGTCACCGTCGAAATTCAGACCAGGTTATTTCCTGTCCTCTCTCGGGCCTCCCAGACCCTCCGGGTTCTGGACATGCAGGACATCTTGGAGCGTTTCGCTTTCGACAACATTTGCAAGCTCGCTTTCAACTACGACCCTAAATGTCTCGGAGGCGAGGGAACCGGCGGAACGGAATTCATGTCGGCGTTCGAGGATGCCGCGACGCTGAGCTCCGGGAGGTTCAGATACGCTTTGCCTGGCGTGTTTAAAATCAAGAGGTGGTTCAACGTAGGATCGGAGCGGAGGCTGAGAGAGCAATCGTGACGGTACACAAGTTCGCGGATGAGATCATAAGGTCCAGATTGGAAGCTAAGGACACAAATCAAGACCTGGACTTATTGTCTCGGTTTATCGGAACGGAAGAGAGTTCTCCGGAATTTCTGCGAGATATCGTGATAAGCTTCATTCTAGCAGGGCGAGACACAACGTCGGCTGCTCTGAGCTGGTTCTTCTGGATACTATCCTCAAGACCAGACGTGATGCAGGAAATAAGAGACGAGCTAAGAGCTATTCGCTCGCGAAATGGGAAGAACAAAGGGGATGCCTTTGTGTTCGATGAGCTGAAAGAAATGAACTACCTTCAAGCAGCTATTTCGGAAACGATGAGGTTGTACCCACCAGTACCGGTAGACACGAAAGCATGCCTGAACGACGACGTGTTACCTGATGGGACGGTGATTCAGAAGGATTGGTTCATATCTTACCACACCTACGCCATGGGAAGAATGGAGAGCATCTGGGGAAAGGATTGCTGCGAATTCAAACCAGAAAGATGGCTTGAAAACGGGGTTTACAGAGGTGAGAATCCGTTCCGATATCCAGTGTTCCATGCAGGTCCAAGGCTGTGTTTGGGCAAAGACTTGGCCTACATTCAGATGAAGTGCATAGCGGCTTCAGTGTTGGAGTTGTTTGAGATAGAGGCACAGAATAAGGACAAGTGTCCCGACGATGTGTTATCTTTGACTTTGAGGATGAAAGAAGGCTTGCCCGTTGGGGTATCCGAGAGAAATGTCTCGTGTTGTGAATCCTGATTTGCCCAACAATCTCCGAGGGCAAATTCCATCTGTAAGCCAAAATAAAAGCTGCTGATTATTATAATTAGTTAAATTACAACGTTAGTGCTTCCTTTCATGCGTTTGTTTATAGTATTGGCTTTTTTTCTTTCCTAGTTTTGTTGTTGCACTATTATACTCTAGATAATTCACGGGAGAACATCTTATACAGAGATCTTACATCTGCGTGTTAACGTGTTTGATTTGTTTTTCACCAAACTCGGGCTTTCAATCTGAATCTAACCAACAGACTGAACAAGTCAATGGTGCGGGTTAACGTTCTTCGTAATTAAGTGTAGTTTTATTTTTTACGTTTCACGCATATCATAAAAATTCAAATACGTGTGTTGCAAGAAGTAGTGAAAGACAATAATGCAATAAAAAAAAAAGATCTTTACTGTATTAATTCAAACAGAACCAGGTTTTGTGGTACTTCATTTGTTTGCCCCCTTCTCTCCTCCGTCTATCACAATATTCATACAAACGTCAAGATCATTGAGCCTTTTAAAATCTTGGATAATTTTTACTCTTCATCAACCTTCAAATTTTCAGGGAAGATTGACCTCAGCACCCACTTCAATAACTGCTAATGCCAAGTTGCTTTTGTCACATGTTGTATAGTCTTGCAGTTTTCCCTCTAGAGAGATCAGGGGATGTACTAATAACTCAGCCAAGTTAGCTCGTGAGAGGGGAGACCCACTTATCTTTATACCTATGCTCACTTACCTGTCACGATTTATCATTTTTTATGAGTTTAAAGAGCTCGGTACGTTATAAAACCCTCCAGAATGCTTCCAAATAAGTTTAACAGTACTAGAGAGTGCAAGAACATTTAAAAAAGTCTACACAACTCTAACCTTAATATTTTAATATTTATTACTAGATCTTTTCATATAAATATCTAGATATTTGTTGTAAATATCTAGGAGAGGATTTTATAGAATCATTTATAACCATAGGATCAATTCAATCTCCACCATCCATTAAGGAAGTGAAAAATATCTAGATCTAAAGAAAAGATCTATAAATATTTCACCCCTCCTCATTTGTAACACACAATCCTTGAGTTTTTAAAGTAATACTACTCTTACATTCTTCAAGTTTTCTTTCAAGTATCTTTTACTTTCAAACTTTTTCATTCCTCAAATTTAGTCAAGCATCCTCTTTTAGTTAGATTTACTTAATAACTTTCAACAAAAATCATCTGAGTACCACACTAATCAAAAAACTACCCCCGTGACATACCGCTTTGTTGCATTAAAGTGGATGGTTGATGACGATAAGGTTTTGCAATATGCAGATCCACGTAACCTGTCATGGCTTTCTTTTGAATAAAATTAGACTAAAAAAAGGGATCAATTTGCATGATTGGGTATAACCGTATCAGATTCCCTTGCTAGAGCATATACTCTGGAACCAAGGCCGCCAATTCACGCACTACCATGTTCCACGTGACATCATCTCATTCGCGAGGAAATCTACACCCTTCAAGTCATATCCAATATTGCTGGTCAATTTTTTTAAAAAAAAAATCATATCCAATATCTGGTCCAAAAAAAAAAAAACAAATCATATCCAATGCCTCATGTCTTCCTCGTCATCTCATAGTAGAATAAGTTAATGTTAAAAAATAATTTTTTACATTTTATTTTACTTTTTTAAGGTTAATGATTTAAACTGATTTTTATTTTTTATTTTCAAAACTTATCCTAAAAAATTAATCTACAAATTTTTAAAATAAGTTTTTATTAAATAAGTCAGGTTAACCAAATTACAAATCCTTGCAGGCCAACTTATATTTATGTTTTAAACAAATTTTGTAGAGTAGTTGCTTGCAATGATTTATAGTTTGGTTTATTTAAACTCTGATTAAATCTATTTAACAAAAATATATTTTTAAAAAAAGTTGCAAAATAATTTTTTAAGACAAGTTTTAAAATAAAAAATAAATAAAATCAGTTTGAATTATTATTCTAATATATGTATATATATAAATAAAGTAGCGAAATAATGTGTAAACAATTATGTTTTAAAATTAAATTATTTTAATATGAGATGAAATGGCAACACATGTGGTATGGGATATGAATCAAAGGGTGTAAATTCTAAGGAAGTAAGAATTTGAGAAGATCCGGATCCAGAAAATCTACTTCGTCTTTTCCCTATTAAGTCATCAAATGTGGCGCCTCTGATCCCCATTTGCCATGGGAACAAGGGACAAGTACAATCGTTCCCATATTTAACTGCTAAGATTGGAATTCTGTTAATAGATGAGAGGCCTCGATACAAAACAATGTATTATTATGTTCATTTAAAAACATGAATATTACTCCCCCTATCTCAAATTATAAGATGCTTTTAAAAAAAAATTTCATCTCAAAATATAAAATATTTTAAGTAGATTAATATTTTATTAAATGCAATGATTTTAATATTATCTTTTCTCTAATCTTCTCTCTCTAATAATTTTCATCCCTTCTCTTTTCAATATATCAAATAATGAGTATTTTTAAAATTTTATATTTTTGTTTTAAAATATAAGTTGTTAAATTATTTAATAAGATCTATTGATATATAAAAACTTATTTAAAAATACCTTATAATGTGAGACATGAGTATTCTTTACATTTTATAGAATCATTTATAATTTTATGTTATTCTGTTTATCAAATCACTTCTAAATAAGTTTTAACTAAATTTTAACAATAGATGACGACAAGATTAAAACTACGAGGTCCTGCTAAATAAAATGCAAATTCTTCAGGACCCCAACAGCGGGGAAGGAATAAAAAAGGGGGGAAAAACAGGGAAACGATTCCTCCATCTAAATATTATATAAAGTCTACGCGTAAAGGTCTTGTACTCAGTACACTACAGTAGAAGAGAACCATGCTGTTATGTACAAAATTGGAGCCCAGTTTCCCTCACGTTCCTCTTATTCTTGCTTGTTGGAGAAACTGAAGCATGGGTTAGATATTACATGTTAGATCTCAACTGAAAACATTTT